ATTTTAAAAATGCATAAAATATTTCAATCATTACTAAAAAGATAATGTAATTTGGTTAGCAAATTGCTTGCTACTGTTCATGCTTTTAACGAATATAGTGATTTGCTTATATATTCCCGGCAGCAGAAATAAGAAAATAAATTTTACAGTTAAAAAATTACAGGATAAATTTAAACTAGTACTATTCACAGTAAAAATGATCCACAAAAGTATAATAATATTAAGCAAATACTAACATGTTTGTTATTTATGCACTGTTTAAAATGAACAAACACTATTTATGAAAAACACCCCTCTTTGAAGCAATTTGGTTGTCTGCAGCTTAAAAATGGTGCTAATTAGCAAATACTTCTGTTAACGGTCAATGTTTGAGAGGAAATGACTGTTGTGTTTTAATGTAAACGTGTTGTAATTAGGCGCTGTAATACAAATCTTTTGAATAAAGATATGAATTCGTTTTCTTAAGTGTTACATGTCATTGATTAAAGTCATTACACTATTTAACGTAAATATAACGTAATACACGGGGAAAAAAAGAAACAGATTTAAAGACTCATAAATATCTTCGAATATACGCCATGACGGAAAAAAACGTATTTCTTTGTGTAGCAGTAAAGCCATTAAGCAGCATTTTGTTGAAATTTGGTTGTGGTAATTTATTGTTAAGATTACATTAGAAAGTCCACAGCGTATGCATTACGGACTTTTCGTATTCTTCAAGTAAAAATCTGAAAATTATGTATAGAAAAGCTATTACAGTACTTTTCGTAAAAATAACGAATTGAACGGGAAAAAAATGAAACAGATTGTAAAATCCATACTTGTCTTCCAGTGTCAGCAATAACGATAAAAACGTATTTATTTCCATTTTTAAATTAATAAAACAGACTTTTATTACATAGCTTCAGTAATTCAGTTAATATCTTTAATGATTTACTTCTTCATATTACTTCTTAATTAGGACAAACATTGTTTTCTTTTTAAATTCCGTTGTGCAAAAAAAAAATCTCCGTTGCGCAGACAAAATGTCCATTTTGCCAGCACACAATCCTTTACAACATCAACATTGCAGCTATTTGATATAGGATTAAGGTTTTTATATATTTTTTTAAATGACATTGGGGTTAATTAATTTCATTTATTTAAGTACATACGTTGTGCCGATTTTCAAAAATTGTCTTAAATAAAATTTCCATTTCGCCAGGCATATATAATCCTTCAGTGTAGACATATACAATTTATGAAACAATTTAAAACATACTTACTTAATAGTGCTAAACAATCATTTTAGATACTCAAATATAGCATATTGACTTTAAAAAAGGCGTTGTGTTGGTATTTTTCTAAAAAAATATCTACGTTGCGCCATGAAATTTCCATTTCGCCAGGCATATAACCCTTCAGTGCAATTAAACATATACAATTTATGAAACATTTTAAAACATACTGACTTTAAGCTACAGTCTCACTTACATCCGGGCAGAGCCCCGGTAGACGTCCGGGGTGATCCGGGAACATCCGGCATTCGACCTCGGATGGAATGAAATATTTAATATCACCGGGATGATCCGGGAAGGTATAGCTTTGCCGGCTTCATCCTTAGCTCTGCCGGGAACGACCGGGGTTATACCGGGAAAGCACCATAGCTCTGCCGGCACAAACCGGGGATGATCCGGGGTATGAAATAGCCGGTAGAGCTACGGTAGAACCCCGATATATGCCGGCAGAGCCCGGGTAACTACAGGCAGAGCCCAGGAGGATAAGGTAGAGCTACGGTTGATCCCGGTAGAGCCCCGGCATAGCCCGTAGCATTTCAAAAGAATAACGACAATTTGAGATGATTGCGCTTGTTTGTATTACAAGCCTTTCCTTTTCCCTTCTTTAATCCAGTATGGAATAAGGATTTTTCAGAAAATCATCATGAATTACCCTTTTGGAACAAATTTTTTAGATATTATATTTAATAAAAATTATGTATCAATGTTATCATTTTTGGGCGTTTTCAATCCACCGGGGTTTTACCGGGGCTCTGCCTGGATCGTCCTGGGTTCTGCTGGGGCTCTGCCTGGATCGACCGGGGCTCTGCCTGGGTCAACCAGGGCTCTTCCGGTGACATCCGGGAACGACCGGGGAAGCACCGGCATGAACGGTAGCTTCACCTGGGCTCTGCCTGGATGATCAGGAGCGCATCCTGGGTGGTTAGTATGCAACTACCGTAGTGCTGCCGGGGTAAGTGTGACCGAAACAATAATTTCATCCCGGATCATCCCGGTAACTTACCAGGATGGTCCTGGGCTCTGCCGGGAGTAAGTGAGACGGAGGCTTAATAGTGCTAAACAATCATTTTAGATGCTTAAATATAGCACAGTCATTGACTTTAAAAAAAGGCGTTGTGCCGGTTTTTCTAAAAAAAATATCTCCGTTGCGCCAAAAAATCTCCGTTGCGTATTTTAGTGGTACCCACCAAATTTGCATTGTAGACTGTTGTAGGTAATAAAAAAGCTACTTACTTAACTTAGTAATGCTTTATGGTTTATTGGCTTAGGAGATTTCCAAGCTGCCTGATATAATTTAAAGGTTAAAACAGTCTGAAACAGTATGATCTGCCTGATGTATGGCTTTAAGTATAATTTACGTCATTACACACCAGTTTCAAATGTAGTTTGCATAAGTAAGAATTTATTTACTTTTTCTTACCTTTAGTTATTATTTCTATTGCGTTTTTTGACATTTTAATTGGGTAATTACCGCAAATACTGATGTTATCTGCAGCCATGGTGGACCGACGCTCAACGTAACAATACTATATTTGATATGACAAATTTAAATCAACGTCAACAAACCTCAATGTTATATGTCCATTTTCAAGACCGATGGTATTGTTTTAAATAGCCATTGTGTAAAGTTTGCTGATCACATAATGACGTAACTTGCGGGAGCTATAGATAGCAGGGCTTTTTTTGACAGGTTGGGGAAGCAGCCCTGCCCTTAATTTTGGGGAAAAATTACAGTCATGGTATATTTGCAAAAGGGGAAGAAAAAACTTGATGTAAATTCAATTTTGGGGGAAAACTGCATGATTTTAAAAAAATTTTCTTTTGGGAAGCAGCCCTATAATGGCCCCTACTAAAGAAGGAAAAAATGCCCTGAATAGTCCGAATAAACAAGTGCAATGTGCGTGAAATTGTAACCATAGCTCGACATACAGTTCTAAATGGTGCAGGTTTGTTTTTCAAATCAAGTCTTTTTTTTTCTTACAATTTATGAAGAAAACATATTGAATAATTTTTGCTAACATGCCCAAGTGTGTTACCTCTAACCATATTTTTATGCCCCCACAGAGTGGGAGCATATAGCGTTGCACTTGTCCGTCCCAGTGTCAGTCCGTCCGTCCGTATGTCAGTCCGTCCGTACGTCCCGAAATCTTGTGAACGCAACTCCTCTTAAACCGGATGGCAGATTTTGCTTAAACTTACAGGGATGAACAACCTTAATGTGTAGATGGTAGTAAAGGAAGATATTTTCGATGCGACCAAATTTAACAGAATTATGGCCCTTTGTTGATTTTTTCACTAGATACTATGAAGAAATTTTGTGAACGCAACTCCTCTTAAACCGCATGGCAGATTTTGCTCAAACTTACAGGGATGAACAACCTTAATATGTAGATGGTAGTAAAGGAAGGAATTTTTGCTGCGGCCAAATTTAACAGAATTATGGCCCCTTTGTTGATTTTTTCACTATATACTATGTAGAAATTTTGTGAACGCAACTCCTCTTAAACCGCATGGCAGATTTTGCTTAAACTTACAGGGATGAACAACCTTAAGGTGAAGATGGTAGTAAAGGAAGGAATTTTCGCTGCGACCAAACTTTACAGAATTATGGCCCTTTGTTGATTTTTTCACTATATACTATATAGAAATTTTTGTGAATGCAACTCCTCTTAAACCGGATGGCAGATTTTGCTCAAACTTCCAAGGATGAACAACCTTTATGTGTAGATGGCAGTAAAGGAAGGAATTTTTGCTGCAACCAAATTTAACAGAATTATGGCCCTTTGTTGTTTTTTTCATTCTATACTATGTAGAAATTTTGTGAACGCAACTCCTCTTAAACCGGATGGCAGATTTTGCTTAAACTTCCAGGGATTAACAACCTTAATGTGTAGATGGTAGTAAAGGTAGGAATTTTTGCTGCGACCAAATTTAACAGAATTATGGCCCTTTGTTGATTTTTAGTTTTCAACTTGTGGCACATGTAGTCCAAAAAATATTTGACCTAGAGTCATAAGATTGACAGAACAGTGGTGTGTGGGGGCATCCGTGTCCTATGGACACATTTCTAGTTTAGCATACTTATGTTGCTGTAATGCATGCTTTCTTTCAGCTTGCTATTTGACAGAACAACATACTTGCTTAAGCAATATTAGGCTATTTTAGCTGAGTAATTTTCAAATAATTTGGAAATTACACATAGTCATATAAATTATTGTTATTTTAATTTTTGAACCAACAGGTGAAATTTTCCCGGGTGTAGATTTTCCAAGGTTTTTGGCTCAAAATCCTTGGAAAAAAACCTCGGAGTATTGGAACAAGAAAATGCAAAACTTTGCTATTAAAAAAACCTTGGAAAAATAGGGAGAGGGTGAAAAACCTCGTAAAAAGTAAGACCTCGGAGTATTGGAACGATTTCCAAGGATTTCAGAATAAAAACCTCGTAAAATAATTTCCGAGGATTTTGTTTAGAAAACCTTGGAAAATGAGTGACCTCGGAGTATTGGAACGATTTCCAAGGATTTTTAAAGTGTTCCGTGGTTTGTTTTCCAAGGTTTTTAAATGAAAACCTCGGAAAGTTTCTCACAACTGGGAATACTGTTACATTTGCGAGGATTCTTACTTAAGGGCATCAGAGAATTTTCCAAGGTTTATTTGAGCAAAAACCTTGGAAATTTCTAGAATATCCATGGAAAATCAGAAATTATAACATCTAATGAAATATTCTGAAAAGAGCAATTATATTGTCCTTTTAAGGAATTAAGAAACTTCTTTGTAATAATACAGAGCAAAAAATGATCACATGACTCACTTAAACATTTAATGTCAGTGTGAAGTAAATAGTAATGCACTACAAATGAAAAGTTAAGTTAGAAGTCTTTAATGGCAAATATTACACTCAATGTTCAGTTATAATTTTTTGGTATCCGGTTAAATTTTAATGTATTCAAATATCTATCTTTTGAATTCCTGTTCACTCTTCATGATTTTTAAATGTCCCTTAGTTTTTCCCTCACCATCACAGGGGTCACATGTGGAAAATGCTCCAGGATACAATTCCTGAAATAAATAAAGTAAATATTTAATAAAGTACAGCCATTAAAAGAAGTTAGAAAAACAATTATATAAAATCACCACTGGGCGCTTCCCCTCTCCATTGGGCGCTTCCCTCTCCATGTGGTAAGGATCAAAGACTTCAAACTACTTGCCTTACAACATTGTATTTTTGACTCCTGAAGCCAGGATGGGCTTCTTCCCTCTGAGGGAGCTATCCAGCCCAGGATTAAGGAACACCTGTGGTTATACTGAGGACAGTTCAGTATGTGTAGGCAATCAGAATTACATCATTTAATTTCTTTTTTATTAATCAATAAAAAAAATGATACATTCCTTAAACGTTTCCATAGACAAAAATATTAGTTCACTGTTGATATATATTGTTTTAAAAAATCAGCACTTTTGTGAAATCCAAAACTACTTGAATTACAAGTTGTTCAAGACCATTGATTAAAATGAAGGCTTTAATATTTTCAAATGACCTTTTCTGTAGTTACTTTTAAATGTTTGTCTACTGTTTTGAAATAGTGAATTTAATTTTTTTCATGTTGATTTCTTATTTTTCTTCATCAGTACTTAGTGTCAGGATTTCAAGAAAACTTTGGTAAGCAGTGTGACAATTCTGCGATCTTAAGAAAAGAAACGATGTCTGTTACTATTATTTTAGATAATGTCATACTGGATGTTACAACCTAAAGCACTCTAAAAATATTGCAAAAAATAACACTTTTCATAAGGTGATTCTGATTTCCTACACTAATTGTATCTGTCTGCTCAAAGTGACATCTGCATCAATAAAGCTGGAGAGTCATCATGTAACATTAACAGCATTTACAACAAAGTATCAATAAAAAAATCAGTTCCAGACACCTTCATTCATTCTTATTTCAAATTGAAACTTTCAAAACCTAGTTTTAAAACAAAAACATACTGTATCCTTAATCGATGCCTGGATGCCAATGATATACTATGATAAAACACAGCAAAGCTGGATTGCCATCTTCTTGTAGTTTGGAACAGTCTTGCAAACTTGCTTACAAGCTGACTCTGTAATTAAAAATTTGTAGATTCAAATAATAGATGAAAGATGAAAGTTTATAAATAATGTCATCATAGTTTCATGCACTCATCTTGTTCAATACAATCATAGACAAAAATAACATTAATACTCATAAAATATCCTCTAAACAATTGTATTTAAACTAGCTTACATTTAGGTTAAAAATATAGATCTAAAATAGTTTGTATTTAATACTTATTTGAAAAAAAAACAACAACAGATTTAATGCATAAATGTATCTAAAATTATTTACCTGAACCTTTTTACTATCATGTTTCTTTTGTTTATCTTCCTGTCCCAGGTAATTGATCTTTAGGTTCAATTACAACAACCAAACATTTCCTGAATCTTGTCACACTTAGATAAATGTTTTCTTTGAAAATTCCAAAATATGCTCCCTAACATTTAAAACAAGATATGTCCAAAATTGCTTAAAATAAATCCAGGTTTGCACTACTTCCAACTATAACCACTTGACCCATTAATGTCTGAGATTCAAATTTTTCAACAGTATAACTGAAGGGGCAATCATAATGTGAAACAGGGGTGATCCCAAAATATCAAAGCCATCATCATTTTATTTTTACATTAATTTTATTGAAGGTACAAATATATCAAATGATAAATAAAAGTAAAACTTGAAAATTATAAGAGAATCACAGTTGCAGTGTCATTTTAGACTGTTTTGGATTGTATAAAAACCCAGACTCCCCCTGAATAATCACATGGAACAATCTGGTCTATCCCAGAATGCTCAATGAGAAGATTGATCATGCATAGATTATAAGAGGGAACCACCTGGGGTGCCATTAGTAATATCTGATCAGTGTGTTATATTCTGTGTGTGAAAACTTAGTGGATGCAGTATTTATTTATCTTAATTATAAGAAGGTATCAAGCATACATATTTTACACATTAATTGTACATAATTATATATTAAAAGGACAGTTAATAACTATTTATGTTTATTGTACACATAATTAATGGCAGAGTAAATTGTTATCTGAATGTATGTCACAGACTTGCTTAGTAGAATATACTATTTTATATGGCATAAAAACATATATTAAAGATTTATTTAATAGCATTCATATTTCAGTGTTGCTTACAGGCTGTCAAGAAACCCTAAGTTAAGTCTATATATAGAAAGAAACTGCAGGAAAAATACTGATGCATTTAGAAACTAATAGACATAAACACTGATTGTTTCTTTTTGTATAATTATAAGTTTTGCTCTTTTATCTATTCTTAAAAATGGAGAAGATATCTAGTAACAATAATTATAAATAATAAAAAAAAATATGAAAATAAAAAAAAATAAAATTTTCAAGTCTTTCTGATCATCAGTTATTTGAATAATCTTTATCTTATTATGATTAGTTACAATACCTTTATAGCCATTAATAAAAGGTATTTTATGGCTACAAGGCATTTACATTGTATTTAACTTTTCCATGTTTTCACACTTAAATTTTTTTAATTGATTCCTCCCACAAAAATGGCTTCAGAAGATTAAAGTACAAATTTATTGAAAAGGAAGTTGGCCATTGACAATGTCCATACTAAAAATTGATTCCCTGGACCAAATCTCTCCTTTCCATGCTGTTGGACAATTGTTTGCTCTGACCATGGATTAAGAAATATCCAATGGCAATCTACAGTTCGGTTGTTATCTTGCTTTTGATGCCCATTATAAATTAAATCATGATTATGTCTTAACATTTTCCGAGATGAAATTTAGTTAAGTTCAATTATCCGAGGTCATTTCCAAGCTAAATATTGGCAAAGTGTTTCAAACAAATTTTACGTAAATTTTCTAAGTTCTTTTCCGAGCAAAAAAATGACAAAGTTCTTATTTCCAAGCTTTTTCCGAGCTGATTTTTGGCAGAGTGTTTAATTCCGAGATAGTTTCCAAGGTTTTCTTTATTTCCAAGGATTTTTATACAAAAGCCATGGATAAAGTTTCCAAGGTTTTAAAAAAAACCTCGGAATTAAGAAAAAACCTTGTAAAACTGGTTTATTTCCAAGGTTTTTGAAGCAGTTTCCATGGTTTTTTTCATAAACCTCGGAAAATCTACACCCGGGTAATAGGAGCATTTTGTAAGGAAGATAATAGGAGCAAGTGTATACCAGCAATGCTGTACTGATGTTATAGATGATATTTCTACAAATTTAGAGGTGATCCATTGACAGAATCTGATGGTTGTATATATCAGAACAAGAGGAGGCTGAAAGACATATTGAGAAACTGTGAAGTTCACCTAGAGGAGAAAAGGTGAAAAACTACATAAAAACTATCATTATGGATGAATAATGTCAAGTAGAAAGTGGCTAAAATTGCATGGTGATCTAAATCTTGCCATAATTGTTACCATATATTATTTAGTGATGTGTATATATATAAACATACAACCACAACCGCCAACACAGCTGCCACCACAACCTCAACCACAACCGCAACCACAACTGCCAACACAACCACCACCACAACCGCCACCACAACCTCAACCGCCAACACAACCGCAACCGCCACCACAACCTCCATCACAACCGCCACCACAACCGCCAACGCAACCACCACCGCCACTGCAACCGCCAACACAACCGCAACCTCCAACACAACCGCAACCGCTGTCACCACAACCATAACCACCAACACAACCACAACCGCCGTCACCACCACAACTGCAACCACAACTGCCAACACAACCGCAACCGCCGTCACCACCCAGGGTTCGTACAGTCTTAAAAAGTGCTTAAATTTCAGTCCCTTTCTTAAAAAGTGCTTAAAAATGATAAAAAGTGCTTAAAAGTCCTTGAATTTGATAACTCTCTTGAAAAGTGCTTAAAAAGTGCTTAAATTCGCTACAAATGTGCTTGAAAATAATTGAATGACAGACTAGTGTCGGTAAAAATCAACAAATAAAAAAACAAAACAAAAAAAACCCGATCTTGTTTATGATATATTGAAGTTAGGGGTTTAACAGGGGGCCATACAACAGGGTGGCAGTTAAGTTTGTATTTGTTGCTATCTTTGTTGTTATTCTATAGAAACTGTAGCCAGAAAATGTATTTTCAACAAGAAATGACTTATAAATTAATATTGGTTAAACATTGTGTAGGATATAGACGCAACAAATTGTGCTTGAAAAATGGAAAAACATGCTTAAAAAGTTCTTGAATTTTGATACTGGATGTCTGTACGAACCCTGCCACCACAACTGCAACTGCCAACATAACCGCCACTGCAACTGTCACCACAACCGCAAGCACAACCGACACCACCACCACAACCGCCAACACAACTGCAACCACCACTGCCACCAAAACCACAACCGCCACCGCAACCAACACAACCGCCACCACCACCACAATGGCAAGCGCCAACAGAACCGCAACCATCACCACAACCGCCACCACAACTGTGAATACCACCACAACCGCAAGCGCCAACAGAACCGCAACCATCACCACTACCGCCACCACAACTGCAACTGCCGGCACAACTGTGATGCCGCCAACCCAACCGCACCCGCCACCTCCACCACAATCACAAACAACACCAAAAACATAACAGCAACCGCAACCTTCAACACCACCACAACGGCAAATGTCGTTACAACCGCATAATATACCAAAGTTTTCCAATAAACTCCCTGACAGTTATGACAAGAACTCTTTAACAAGTCATCATAAGAACTCCATCCTTCTTGTAACAGTCCCTCCCCCGTGATTTTGTTTAATCGTGATTACGTTATATGATTTATATGCGGATTTTATTCTTACTTTGACAAAAATCAACATTAACAAGACATCAGACGTTTAAAATAATTAAAATGGTTTTTACATTTGGGATAAAATTGTAGAAATAAAGTAGATTTCTATTTGTAGAACTATTTTATGGTATTTTCTTCTTTCGTTTCAGGACTTAACTCACCGAAACCACTTCCCTCTGCGGGGATTTAACCCTTTCTACAGCAATTCTGTGGCGATGACGTGAATGTATTCGAGAAAAACAACACCAGGTTGAAATTTTACTAATATAGAGACTTCCTAAACGGATAGTTTTTCCAAATATTAATGAGTTACTTCCCTTTTATATTTATTTGGCCTCCATTTGTAAGTGGACTGGATTTTGTATTATAATGGATTTTTTACCTGTTGCCTTAATCTTTAAGACAAATTTATTTGAGTGTCAGTGTAAGAGGGAAGTATAAAGGAAATTTGTTTAATTGAGTTTCATTTTGTTTTTTTTGCTGTATCTTTAATTTTATCAATTTAAATAATTTAAGCTTTATTCATGATATGATTATCTCCCCTTAATCAAGTCATTGTAGGTACATGTGTACATTTAGATAAATTATCAGGGAAATAGGGAGATATTAAAATGAATTACATAGTTTAAATTATGTTATATTGTGTGATTTACCACTGATTTGCATTATTTTTCACCATACTTCTACCGTGTTATTAACGCAGTTAGGGTTATTTTGACCTCTTTTGTTATTAACATGGGTTGTATGTGAAATCTTTTTTCTCAGTTCACTACACTTAATACATTTTCAAAATTTCATGAAAATTAGCATAAATCTGCTGCTTTAAAGTGTCTAGGGGGGAGAAAAGTTACCTTGTTTTAAGTAGGGGTGTGGATCATCTGATAAGTGACGATCAGATCCGATCCACGATTCAGCACTTACGATTCACGAATCGAACCACGAATGTTTTATTATCAAGACACCCATAAAAACATGAATATACGTTCTGAAAACATGTTTATTTTTCTTTAAACAATACTAAACATTAAACATATATACAAATATACACTAGGTTTAAAGGTTTTTCGAAAGGGGTCGGGCCGATATAAAAAATTCCACCTGCAAGTTGGTAATACTTAGGTATTTCAATAAAAAAAGGGGAAAAGGCCGTTTGTGAAACATACCACGGTGAACTGACCGTACAGGCACAACAAATTCATGAACAGACAAATGTTTCCAAACATTTGAAGTAAATTTTCTGGTGGAATTTTATATTGGCGAAACTCATTTTCAGCCATTGTTGCAGACATCAGGCTGACTTAACTTGAGAAAATATGCAAATTTTGGATTATTAAAGATAAAACCTTCTTCGATAGATGTCATGTTATCATAAATCTTTATACAGCGACTACTAAAAATATTTATTTATTTTCATGTAAACACATAGTGCTCAATAAAGATAAAGTGATTCCTTTTTTGAAACTAATGACTTCCTAGCTCAGCATCATAACATGGTATTTGTTTGTTTACTTCCTGTCTTTATTCGACAAATTGTATTTAAGTAAACATCGCATAATTCATACTAAATTGGCATTTTTTGAGACTTTAATAGTGTGAGAAACAGTGAATTTATATAAACAAATTAGATCGCGATCCACAATCTCTGGCTTGACGAATATTCGTACTGGATTTTTTATTTTGATTTGTGATTATCAGAGTACTCGGATACTCGCCCCAGCCCTAGTGTTAAGTGGTGTTATTCCAGGGCTTTTTTGTGCCCCCGACTCCGTCCATTCCCTTTTTGTGTCGCACATAGCTAAAAAGTAATTGACCTAGAGTCATGAAACCTTACAGGAATGTTGATCAGCATGTGCAGTTGTGCATCTGGGTATTTTCATGTGCATATATTTAATTTTTTAAAGTTATTGCCCTTGACTTAGTAAAAATTTGCAATTTTCAACTTGTGTCGCACATAACTCAAAAAGTATTTGACCTAGAGTCATGAAACCTTACAAGAATGTTGCTCAGCATGTGTAGTTCACAGTGCACCTGGGTACTTTTGTGTGGATATTTTTAGTATTTTTAGAATGATTCCCTTGACTTAGTAAAAATTTACAATATTTAACTTGTGTTGCACATATCTATTTAATTTTGTTTCACTGTTTGATCTCAATGAAGATAATAATACATATTTAATTGTTTAATTCTTTTATTGTTTAATTCTTTTATTTGAAAATTTTATCTTTTTAGATATTGTCATCATTTGCTTGACGCTTGACGCTATTTACAGGCCGGAATTTTTTCTTTGATCTATATTAGTCGTTATGATATTAATGCTGCACTTATTTATTATAGTATTATTGTAGACTACTTACTATTAAACCGTCAGGATTTCGACTCATTATTGAGTTTCAAAATTCTCGATTTCAACTCATTTTCGGACCACGCGCCTTTAACATTTAGTTTGCCTAGAAAGAATTTAAACAAAAACTATCAGTCAGTTACCTTCCGTTAATAATACAAAGAATTGTATGGGATCAAAATAAAGTCAGTCTTTTTACAAAATATATAAATAATAAAAGAAACACGTTTTTGCAATTATCAAACGCTTTAAATATATAGAACCAATAGATGTTGTTGTTGAAAAGTTTTCATCGGAACTTTTAAAATCTGCTAAAAATCTGATGTATTCAGACAACAAACAAACGTAGAAAAAATTAATACTGGCCAAAACAAAAATAAATGGTTTGACTATGCTTGTTTACGCGAAAAAAAGCAGTTCTATAGCGTCCGAAATAATTTGTTGCGTAACAGAGATAATGATGATATCAGACGGAACTTTGGGCACGCGCGAACAAAATATAATAAAGTTTAAAAAATCGCGAAACGGAAATTCAAAATTAACGAGGGCAAAAGACTAGAAGATCTAGCAAAGAAAAATACTAGAAATTTCTGGAAAACCCTGAAAAAAATAAATAAGAATGTCATAGACAACCCAGAATCTCTTAATATTAATGACCTACGTGATCATTTTAAAACACTTTTTGGGGAAACCAGCTCAAAGGATATGAGTGGTAATGTCTTTGTCAGTTCCGAAATTCCGGAAATTGATATAAATTTTACAGAAACAGAGTTACGGACTGCCATTTTTGGCAGAAAAATAATAAATCGCCAGGCAGTGATCAGATTACTAGCGAAATGCTTAAAACCTCATATGATATTATTTCCCCCTTTTTATTAAACCTGTATAACAAATTATTTAATACAGGGGAATATCCAGTAAGTTGGGGTGAAGGAATAATGGCCCCCATATTTAAAAAAGGAGACGTAAATAAGGCTGAGAATTATCGTGGCATTACTCTTATTAATACATTAGCAAAAACCTATTCACAATTACTTTTGAATAGGTTAACTTCCTGGTCAAACAAATATGAGAAAAATTTCCAAAAACCAATTTGGCTTTCAAAAGGGTAAATGGATAACTGATTGTATATTTATTAACCAGGTTTTCCGAAGGAAAAAACTGGTTATTAGATTGAGGTATGTCGGCGGGCGGGCGGGCGGGGCGGATGGGCGGACGGGCGTAAACAATTTCTTCTGTGCGCAACTCCTCCTACATTTCTCAACGGATTTTGACCAAACTTTCACAGAAGCTTTGTCATCAAGTGCCCTGGCGCATATTGTCGGGGTTTTGCGATTACATAATATTTGACCTAATTATGGCCTTTTGTTTTTTTTCCTTATATAGAATATATAGTGAACCATTTCTTCTGTGCGCAACTCCTCCTACATTTCTCAACGGATTTTGACCAAACTTTCACAGAAGCTTTGTCATCAAGTGCCCTGGCGCATATTGTCGGGGTTTTGCGATTAGATAATATTTGACCTAATTATGGCCCTTTGTTTTTTTTTCCTTATATAGAATATATAGTGAACAATTTCTTCTGTGCGCAACTCCTCCTACATTTCTCAACGGATTTTGACCAAACTTTCTCAGAAGCTTTGTCATCAAGTGCCCTGACACATATTGTCAGGGTTTTGCAATTGGTATAATTATATTGGACCTAATTATGGCCCTTTGTTTTTTTTCATTATAGAGAATATATAGTGAACAATTTCTTCTGTGCGCAACTCCTCCTACATTTCTCAACGGATTTTGACCAAACTTTTTTAGAAGCTTTGTTATCAAATGCCTGGCACATATTGTCAGGGTTTTGTGATTGGATAATATTTTACCGAATTATGGCCCTTTGTGTATTTTTTCCTTATACAGAATATAATAGTGAACAATTTCTACAGTGCGCAACTTCTCCTACATTTCTCAACGGATTTTGACCAAACTTTCACAGAAGCTTTGTCATCAAGTGCCATAGCACATATTGTCGGGGTTTTGTGATTAGATAATTTTTTACCTAATTATGGCCCTTTGTTTTTTTTCCTTATACAGAATATATATAGTGAACACTTCTTCTCTGCGCAATTCTGTGCGCAACTCCTACAATTCTCAAGGGATTTTGACAAAACTCTCGCAAAAGCTTTGTCATCAACTCTTGCTGCATGTTGTCAGGGTTATGAGATTTGATAATGTTTGACCTAATTATGGCCATTTATTTTTTTCCCTTATATAGAAATATATTGTTTTTGTTCCATATATAGAATATAAAGTGAACAAATTCTTATTTGCACACCCCTCCCAAAAACTATTTTGACAAACTTTCACAGAAGCTTTCTCATCAAGAGTCCTTGTGCATATCATCAGATTTTTGTGATTTTGGTTGGGCGGGCGGGCGTTCACTTTAAAACAAATGCCCCTGCATGACAAAGCTTCTGTGAAATATTTTGCTGAAAACCTGGTTGCATCGCATTGCGATGTTCCTTGTTCTCCATTCTATTATTCTTAAGGTACTTAATTCTAGGAAAAAGCTATATTGCGCCTTAATAGATTACCAACAATGCTTTGATAAAATAGATAGATATTTTTTATATGAAAAACTTGTTGCTGCAAATCTCAGTTCCAAATTTCTAGCTATCAAATCGATGTATACTGTAGTAAAATCATGTGTAAAGTTTAAAAATACATATTCCAATTTCTACAATTGTGATATCGGTCTCAAGCAGGGAGACCCGAGCTCGCCTCTGCTGTTCATGCTCTTCGTTAGTGATATAATACAAAACATAAACACTGACATAGATGATATATTAAGTCTAAATGAACAAAAATTATTTCTCATTCTATACGCAGATGATCAAGTGCTGTTT